GAACAGCTGGCTGGTTTGACCGGGGCGGGGAATGGTCGTACGCAGCCCGTACTCGAACGGGGCACGATCCCGCGGGTAAAGCAGAGGCCAGGGGCGTACTTCTCACGGCAGCGAGGGAGCTTCTCAGAGCAGCCGTCAAGGGGCCTAAGCGCAACATTCTGCCGGAGGAAGGGATGGCGGGAAGCGACCCGAAAGTCAGCGGTCGTCGGCAGTCGGTCACGGGCGCGAGGCTGGCACGGTGTCGGATGGGGCTCGGAGCTCACGCGGGCGTCGAGAAAGTGGAGGCGAAGATGTCGATTGCGGGCGCCGGAATCTCTACCCCGAGCCGAGCCGAGCAGACCGAACCCGAACCCGCGTTTCGACTGTCTGGCATCGGACCACGTGGCGGGGTCATACTTGCCGCTGTTCACCGCTTTGCAAGCTACCCCAGCCCCAGCCCACTTGGTACGATGCATGACTACCAAAAGATGGGAACCGACGACGACTGTGGTGGGCCCTTCGCTCTCACGTCCGTGACGAACGACCTGGACGACGTGGTTCGTTCGATCGGACGCCCGCAGTAATTGCTCTTACCCCCCTTCAAAGAAGAACCGTGTCCTAATCTATCTTGCTTCTTGGTCAAAAAGTACCATTATCTCCTTTGTCTTCGAATATCTCCCTTTCGTAATTATCAAGTTCCCTTCTTTCCCTTTCTTGAACCAAATATCTAGGATGGTATTATTTTTTAATGTTATTTTTTTTCAAATCTACTTTATGATATGATTTTATAATCTTCAGCAGATCTTATAATAAATAAATACACGGTCCATGGGTTAAAAAGATAATCATCGATTTTTATTTTCTTTACGCGCTTTGGGCTTAGGATATTGTTTCTATATTTTTTTTTTGTTTATTTTCATGCTTCTCTTATCTTGGTTATCATTTCAGTGCAGATTTATGGGTGAATCTTTCTCCCTCTCCCTAATTACACAGATAGCCCTGCAAGTATCGAGTCGATTGTATTCAAAATATATTTTCTTCAGGATATGTTAAATCATACCAAAGTTACGACGTTCAAGAGATCAAGCTAATGAGGACTCAAAATCTAAAAATAAAAAAATAAAAAATTTTGCATTTGACGGTTCTGACACCTCTTGAGTTTTGATCCATCTGCTTCATTCCAGTTTAGTATCCGGTGGGATTCATAAGCTCGAGTATGTTATCCATATGGCAGGCCAGCACATTTGTGTCCAATCGTGAACTATATACAACACTTTACTGGAAGGCGAGAAGAGGCCGAGAGTCACGAGTGCTCTGATTTTGGTCGTCTTGAAACAATCTGGAGTGTCAAGTTGAAAAAAAAAACACACCAAAAAAATCCACTTGTGATGCATCTATCAGGATGAGTAGAAAATGAGATGAGCTTTGGACAAGTTGAACCTCAATGATTCGAAGGAGAGAAGCAACAGATGTAATTTATCTAAATTTAGGCGGCGTGATTGATCTGATGTCGGTAAACTACTGTGGGCGAGAAAAGGAAACTATTGCCTCTGGAAGTGGCATTTTTTATGGGATCCGATTTCCTGAAGCAGCAGAACATACTAGATTGAAACATTGACTGCAATCATTTTTGGATGGGACAGATCATGACTACACACATCCTACAGTCCTTACAGCTTGAGTTTGGGTGTCTTGCAAACTCTGTCCAGCCTGATCCAGCCGAGCTGCTTTGGAGTCTACCCTGCCAGGGAAGGGAGGACCGGTGGGACTCCACAAGCAACATTTTCTGGAACTTGCACTCGCGCTTGTGGAAATTTCCATTTCTTTTATTGTAATGTAATCTTTTCGACCGAGAGCCTAAAAATTATCCTCGAAGTTTTGTAAAAAATGAAAAGATGGCACAGAATATAAGGAGACAGTGAGATTAAAGTATGGGATTCGAAAACCTGAAATGATTGCGAGCTCTTGCTGGGTTTTGTCGAGTCAGATCGGTCCAGCATGAAGATGATTTTATATTTGTAGCGCTGGAAAAAATAATGAATGTGTGGACCGAGTGAAACATGGTCATATAGTATTGGGGTATATAAAACTCCCAGACCCTTGGGGACCGGATTTAACAGGAAGTTTCCCGCAAGATGACCTTTGTCCTTATGATCCTAGACTGAGGTGTTTTTCTACAGGGGAGGGCGAGGAGAATAATCATCACCATATGCTTAAGGCCAGCTAAACAGGAGTGATTATCCCGAGGCTCCTGTGAGAGAGAGAGAGCGCGCCTAGCTCACAGTGAGCAACATCAAACAACAGCTAACTTTACAAAGATTCGGTTCTCACCACCTTAGCTGGATGTAGCTCTGATCATTATCGGAGCTATCTACTGTATGTAGAGGCGCCACAAAAAACGACACACTCGCAACAGAAAGGAACTTTTGGGGGGACCGTGCTTTCGGACGCTCGATTTGCTGCATTCGATCGCACCCAAGTTTAGCTTCGAAGCTCGCTTACTTAGCCAGCCACTTATGAAAATAGTGGCGCGCGCTCAAAAGTGGTTCAAAAGCAGCACTGGCCAGCTTAGCTTAGCTTAGCTTTTGGATTTGATGGCTGGTACTGTATCTAAGAGATTCAGGGCTCCTATAGAGCTACTTATGTCACAAGCATGCTTTCCAGTCAAATAGTGGATATGTTATACGAAGATCACTTGATGATGATTTGATACGTGTATCTGAGAAATCGATCTGCCGATATACGAGAGCGGGAGAGGCTTAAGCCACAAGCTTGCTTTTCCCAGTTGTATAGTGGATATGAGATTTGAAAGCGCCGAGGGAGATATTAGAAATCTAGACAGTTAGTTTGCGGTCCTGTCCACATATGTAGAGGGGGGTTGATGTCTACGCTGTAGAGTGTAGAGCAATCAATGGAATAGTTTGGAGAATAGTTTTTCGACACTATGCTTCATTCCCATGGGGGAAACAATATTTTTCTTCGCGTGAGCGACCTCCTGCGAGGGGACGGGAGAGGGGAGGGGAGATTGGATCTGGAGTTTTATGCTCTGCCCATTCTCGGACACATGCACTTAATGTCTGAAAATTTCGTGACTCGGCTGGGACTGCGGCACAAGAGTGAATCCGATTCGTCTTATTATGTGGTGAGCATGTGAACGCATGAGACGATAGTGTTCGAGACGGCCGCATCGAAAGCGAGCGAGAGCTCGGCGGTTAAGTGAGAGGGAAATTCCAATAATTTGAGAGGCCAAGCCCAGAGGAATTCGATTCGGGAAATAAAAGGAGTCGGAAAAGGAAGAAACAAATGGTAGATTCGCGGAGGAGGGAGGAGAACAATCGCCATAAAGGCGATGTGCATCATATCCAGTGGAAACGTTCGAGGGAACGGGGCACGCGAAGCAGACGGGGAAGGTGGCCGGCGTTGCAAAGTCTCGCGCTCGGTTTCTTGATAGCGCAGTCCGCCGTGCAGTTCGCGGGGGGCAAAGAAGCCAAGCGGAAACCGGTACCTCCTGGGCAGTGGGAAAAAAGAAGGCGCTACAGGGCGCCCCGTCTTGTACAGTACGACGAGCGCGCGTGCTACGCGACAAGACATCGCGCCGGACGACGAACGGACGACTGTTGCCGGGGAGCTTCCGATCCTGCTGCCTGGAATACAGGTTCGGGAGATAAGAGATGGGCTTATGAACGGAGGCAGCCCCTGCCCCCTGGAGAGATAACACACCGACCGCCGCGTTACTGTAGGACAACCATGTTGCGCACCGTGGTAGGGGAACCTTCCGACGGCCGCGGCCCCGCGCCTCCGATCGGATCCCATCGGTCGGTGGGGATCGAATCTCCCGCCGGGTGCGAGGAACTGCGTCGGAAGGGCGAGCGACCGAGTCAGGTGAAGGCGGTGGAGGACGGGGTAGGCGAACAGGGGTCGGGGTACGAGAGGGGAAGCGGACAACGGACGGAGGAGTGATGGCGGAGGGCTACTACTGTCCTGGATGCACACGTCCACGCACACGCGCTCACGCCCTGAGCTCGTGGCCCAGTCAGCGCCAGAGCCGCTTATTGCTTGCCCATCCCCCGCATCCGTCTCCTGCTCCATCTCTCTCGAACTCAATCGCTCTTCCGCTCGCACTCCATCTCATCCCGTCCGGGCCTCGACCAGCAGCAGCAGCAGCAGCAGCACTCTCTCCCCACTCTCTTTCCCTCCCTACCATCTCGAGTAGCGCTTTACCCTCCGGCCCAGTGCAGCCCAGCCCGAGCAAGCCCTCTACACTTCACATCGTCGACGACGACGACGACGCACTCACTGACTGACAGACGGACCCGACAGGCATAGGAGTTCGCATCGGACTCGGGTCGCTTGTATGTTGGATTGAGTTGGTTTTCAGCTAGGCAGACAAGCCGTGCGAAATTGAGAGCGCTCAGACTGATTGGGACAGTGGTTGATCTGCATGTACTAAGACGCTTCGCTGCGGTTTCGGCGGCGCTCGTGAGGTGACGTGAGACAGCAGGCGTAGCGGAGCTTGAATTGGAAGCTAAGATCGAGCGAACGAGCTTGCTTGCCTCGTTTGGTTAGATTGGGCGTGGGACCTGGGAGCTTCATACTTGCAGAAAATTCCCGGGCAGTCGACACGCAGGGGGCAGGAGAGAGAGAGAGAGTATGATCCGCCTGGAGGCTCTTGGATAATATTTGTCATGCATACACCGACGGCAAGACCACGAGTAGTAGGATCGCTGTCGGCTTTTGTTTCTATGGCAGGGAAGCTGGGCAGCCGGAAGTTTATGTATCGGAGCTTGAAGATCCAGAAAGCCTGGGTCCGAAGCTTTTGACAGTTGTGAAACACGGGACGAGAGAAATTTTCCACCAAACGCCAGCACGTGGTCGGAAGGAAGAAACCTCAAACCTGCGAAGGTCGCGTAAATTGTTCTCGTAACGCACTTCTGAGCATCTCTCTATTCATCTATCCATCCGCACATCCAAGAACCCTTCGAGCCATTGGCCGGTAAATGTGTCTTTCCCAAGTCTCATTTGTGAAGATGGAGCATTCAGATGGAGACTTGGGGGCTGTGGTTCGAGCAGGGACTTGCAGCTCCTTGAGCTCAGTCACAGGTTCAGGTTCAGGAGGAGGAGGAGGAGGAGGAGGAGGAGCGCAGAGCCAGCTACTGAATATGGTGGAAATGGAGTCCCACAGACAGAACATGAACAAGCGTAAAGCCGTGGACTCGGGCTTCCCGTCTGGCTCCTCGTCTCCATCTTCCGTTCTCCAATGCAACTCGCCGTTGCTTCTGAGCGACTTGTCCAAAAGCCTCACCGGTGTTAGCACCACTGCCACCACCACAGGAGCCGATGTCGAAGGATCGCTGCACGAAGTGTGCCAGCTCGGTTACAATTTTAATGGAAGCGCTGCTTCTTCGTACTACTCCAGTCTCGAGTCCGCCAACACAGCTATAGATTCTCCTCGGAATCCGTTCTACGCTCAGAATGACAGGATATCCGAAGCCCTCTCTCGAAACTTGCAGCAACGGGATCAGCAGCAGCAGCAGCAGCAGCAACAGCAACAACAACATCAGCAGTGTCTCAAGAAGACCAACATGATCTCAGAATTGCTTTCATCGTCGAGTATGAACATGAACTTGAACAGGTCGAGGTTACGTCCAGGCCCGGTTTCGCAGAGCCTCGATTCTGGGCGCTTGTCGCAGGATATGATCAAGGAGGACTTTTTTCAAGGCGGCTCTTCTTCTTCGTTCAATCACAGATCCAGCCAATGTGCAGCGGACTCCAGCTCCGAGCAGTTATCGAGCTCTCACCACTCGTCGCCGGCGAGGGAAGACCACATGGCCACCCTCGGCCCCGTGAAGAAAATTGAGGCCGCTTGCAACACCAAACTCGAGGATTCCCTGGACTACGGCAGCCCGGGCTCCCTCGCGTCTTCCAAGGGTCCCAAGCGCAGGTATGAATGCCCTCTCCCGTCCATGCAACTTCGCACTTCGCAAGTGCAGCCGAATTCGCTCCCGATTATGCTCTCGAGTAAATCGCTGCGTCCTTGGCCGCGTATGATCGCACACTGCAGGAGATTGTTGTGACGTCGCATGCGCAATATCTGACTGGCTTATTTTCCATCGCCCGGCTCTCGTTTATGTTCGACAGGAAGAATCAGCAAAAGCGGATAGTGTGCGTGCCAGTCGCCGCCAGCGGCAGACCCACCAGCGAAGGCTTGCCGTCTGATCTGTGGGCATGGCGAAAGTATGGGCAGAAGCCAATCAAGGGATCGCCCTTCCCAAGGTACTTCTACTCTCCCCTCCCGTCTTCCAGCAACAAATTCCTCGATGTCCAGCTCACTTGTAGAATGGTCCAATGTTCGGGGACTCGATCTGGGCTGCGGGTAGAGGTGATCTCGTGTGCTGAATTGGGCATGTGCTCTCGTTCGTGTGCGCGTGAGCAGAGGTTATTACAGATGCAGTAGCTCGAAAGGGTGCTCGGCCCGCAAGCAGGTGGAGCGCAGTCGGACCGAGCCGTCCATGCTCATCATCACGTACACGGCCGAGCACAACCATCCGTGGCCGTCGCACCGTAACGCATTGGCAGGGTCCTCGAGGATGAGCTCGTTGGACAAGGGCACGCTGGCGCAGGAAACTGCCAATCTCAAGGCCGAGGCCGGGGATGCAGGCGAGGCAGGAGTGTCGGTGGCGGAGTCGCCCGTGAATTCCATGGATCATGATACGGACACGGGGGTTATGGACGAGCCCGAGCCCGAGCTCGAGCTGCCCGAAGCTCATCAAGCCCCGGGCTCGCCCTCCACCACCACGCTCGAGCTCGACGGCGGCGAGGCGCAGGGCGCCGATAGCTCCGAGCCATTCACGTCGATGCTTTCGTCGCACCAGCATCAGCACCAGCACCAGAGAGGCGACTTCGAGGTGGCGCATCATCATCAGGGAAATTTGCACCTCACGGGGCGCTCGGGTATGAGCATGCAGGACGACGATTTCTTCTCGGAGCTGGGCGAGCTGCCGGAATCGCTGCTCATGTTCGGCGGAAGAACTGGCGTCATGGAAGATCGGTCCGACGACGAATGTGGGAACCTGGGCATGGACAACGTGGACCCCTACAATCTGTTCTGCTGGTCCTCGGGCTCCCACCTCGAGAGCTCGAGCAATGTTGTGATGTGATCGGGTGAGCGACCGACGTCGCCCATTCCATCCGTGTACATTAGAACGTCGGACCGTCGACCACTAGGATCAATTGCAGCAGCTCGCCATCGAGAGGGAGAGCGAGAGGGAGGGATCGACATCAGAAGCAGCAGCCTACGATCTCCGGCTCTGAGCCCGAAGCCCGAAGCGATGCATGGATCCAACAGCGAGCGAGCTCCAGAGCCTGCTCGCTGTCGGCTCGCCATCAGCAGCAGCAGCAGCAGCAGCAGCGCTGATCGAGGATTCCGAATGCGCGCTCGTTGTTCCAAATTTTCTGGGAAAAGGTTACGTGGAACACGTGTAGGGGACTTTTCCACAGAGTGTACAGATAGAGGGCCAACCAACCAACCCACCAACAATCACTTCAGCATCATCACACCATCAAATTCTTTGGCGAGGTGCTTGCCTGGGGGCTGATCCTCGAGCTCTTGGCTTGTCCTCGCTTGCTCGCGACGGCACCCCACATTGCGCAATAACGTTCGAGTTCTAGCCTCCGATCATGCGAAGGCCAGGGACTGGCAGGGAACGCGACGGAAGGGCAGGCAGGCCAGGGCAGGAGCGCGAGGAGGGGGCCGGGCTTGGACATTCAATCAATCCATCAAATCAGATTATCAACAATCAATTTCCCCCATCAGAGGCCAAACTTTGTATATTTAGAGTTCCTTATGGAAACTAGGGGTAACTTGGTGGCAGCTGGCCCTGGCCTTACCTGGACTGGTGCACCACAACGACACGACTCGAGCTCTAAGGTCTCAGAGCTGACACACACACATTCACACACTCACACACTCTTACACACACTCTCTCACACACACACATACACAGTAAGCTTTACATGTTTATTGCGCCGGTCGACTTCAGTTGGTTCTTTGGAGCAAGTTTCATGGTCAGTTTCCGCTTTTGGCGCGGACATGAATTCGTACATTTCGTTTCTCTTGGATCAATCTTCCTCAAAGAAATCTGGCTTCAGCCTCGATCGATCAACGACATCGTATCGAGTCACGGACGGGACAGACGCGCACAGAAAAGGAGTGAGACATAGAGAGGGAGAGGGAGAGGGCGGGCGGGCGGGCGGGCTGGCTGGCTGGCGGGCACCCATCAGACAGGACATGGTAGTCTTTCTCCAGGACGACGAGACGGCCCGGTTCGACGTTTTTTCAGCACCACGTTTTTCTAGGCAGGCTCTTTAGTATAGATCATCATCATCATACCTTCTAGCTGCTCATCATCGTCTCAAGAACATCGTCCACTGGACCCAACGCTCTCAACGAGTCACTGACCCTTGTGTATGCGTCAGGCCGCCCGACCCAGAGCAATCAATCAATCAATCGGTCGGTCGGTCGCGTCGTGTCGCGTCGAGTGGGTTTCCTAAGTGGTGGCAGTGTAAATATTAGAAGCTGCTACAGATTTCCAATTTTTGAGTTAGACCATAGTTCAGGTGGGATGGCCAAGGTTCAGGTAGTCTAGCTAGCCTCCTGTGTCCTTCCCACGCTTTGCGGCTTTGATATCAACGTTGAGAATTTCATGCAAATTAGGCTTCCTCTCTCACTCGCTCATTCATCACGAGTCTCTGTCTCAGTCTCACTGTCGTGCGCCCTCGTGAATGGATGTTTTTCCTTTTCCTTTTCCTTTTCCACATGAATGAATGTGACCTCGTTTTGCATGCGATGCTATATCTTTGTACACAATGCGCTTGTGGATCAGATCGTCGTTCGCGCCCCGGTCATCGTTCCGGACCAGCGCGCCGTGTGAGCTTCTTGACAGTAGCTTGTCGACGAGGGCGGGGCTCGAGCAAATGATTGAGAGGTTTCGTTTGGCATGGCAAGGCATGGCAAGGCAAGGCAAGGCCGGGCCGGGGAAACGTGTGTCGCCAATGGATCCGTCGACCGACATCAGCATCGATGATGTTTTCGGTCCAATGCAGCCGTAAAAACCGACATGTGTATGTGTGGGGGGTCCGAGACCAGTCAATGACAGACTGTGATCCGAGCAGACAGACTGTTGCATGAGGTTGTCTGCTGGAGCCACTGCCCAAGTTCTTTCTCCTCGGGCTGTCCTTGAGCTTCGTGAGCTTGAGAAACAAGGTTCGTGATCAGAGCAAGTCGGCGGATAAGTCAGTCACACGAGCACGAGGTAGATCGGTGTGACGAGACCGACGGCTGATTGTCACGAGTCGCGACGTCGACGTTCGATCGAACGCCGCGAGCCATCGTGCTCCGTTTTGCAGCATGTCATGGCCGAGGCTGGCACACTCGTCCAGCCTGGTCAGCTAGAGCTACTACTCGATTTGGTCGATGCCGAATCGTGAAGCATGGCATGAAGTGGGGGCGGAGTACGGTCATGGAGGAAGCGAGGCCCGAGCACAGTCCGGGTCGCGTCACGGGTGTCGACCGGCCTGGTGGTGCTCCATGGACTCCATGGTCGACGCTGAGATGGCGATGCACCTTTCCATGCAGATCTGAGACTCCACAAACGTACAAAAATGCATGTGGACATGGCTCGCGTCCTGAAGGTTCGCGATTTTACTCGTCGGGCGACTGTAGGAGCAATTCGTGGGGATCAAATCGCAGTTGCAGTCTTGAAGAAGCTAGCAACGGTGACGGGCACCAGCACTGTATATGCACAGTGCCGTAAGCCAAGGGGCTGGGCCGATGATGCCTTGAGATGCTCAATGTCATCCTTTTTGTCCAAGAGCCCACTGCAACTTCCCATATCTTCGTGGGGCCGGCCGGCCGGCAGGCAGACAGGCGGGCGAGCGAGCGAGCGAGCGAGCAGCCAGGGAGGAAGGGAGGAAGGGAGGAAGGGGGCTGGCTAGAGGCACTGGGCACTGGGCACTAATAGTACTCACGGCAGTACAACAAGCTCGCTTCATGGAACTGTGAATCCCATCAGCCTGTCATCAGCCATTGCTGATCGCTGCCCTGGGGTTGCGAATCGCCTCCTCGAGCAGGCATATCTTTCACGATGCTCACATGGGTTGATTTTGTGCAAATGTGCGGGCACTAAATTTGGATCCCCGGCTGTGCTTAATTTAAGCTCCTGTTGTGCATCCTCCCACTTCCAGCTCCAGCGAGCATTGTGCTCGGGCCTGTGGCCCCACGCCAGGACCAATCGCAACCTTCAAGTCTTTTGCGCTGAGAAGAGCCACGCAGCCAGCGCTAACTTAAACTCAAAATCACTCCCAACCTTCCGAAGTGTTGCCCCGCGCCTGTAACCGCGGTCTATTTAAGGTTACCACCTGAGGATCTGGACGCATGCGCCAATCCGGGTAATACCGGTACTTTCGTTCTCATGTCCACTGCCCGCTGCCCGCTGCCCGCTGCCCGCTGCCCTGTGTCCTCGTCCCCCACTACAAGAGCTTCACTGTCTGCAAGGTGCCTGCGATTAGCGCCTCCCGGCCGGCTTTGCGTATTTCAGCCCTCCGGAATCAAGCGATTTAGTGACCATGACCGGCCCTTATCCTCTAACCCCCCACCGCCATCGCTCCAGAGACCACTGTGTGCAGCGCTAGCGATCGAAGCAACGCCAACGAGTAAAACGAAAAGCTCCGGACGAATTTCGCTGCTCTCCCTGCACCACCTCCACCCCCCCACCTTCACCTGCACAACAGTCGCCGTCGAATACACCCATCCCGAGTCCCGCCGGATCCCGCCGGATCCCGCCGGCTGCCTCTCTCTCTCTCTCTCTCTCGCAGTCGCCCACTGCATTCGCGTCGGCTCGACACATCGCGCGCTGGTACACGAAGCACGCCACCTCAAAAGCTCGTTCACGCAGTTCTCGCCCCTGGAGTCTCGCTGCTGCTGCTGCTCGATCTCCAACCCACCCGACTGGAAACACTCTCTGGCCAGCTCGCTCGCTTTTCGTCAATCTCGCGGCGATCTGATCACGAAAATTACTGTCCTGGCCTGAGGGGGGCTTCGAGCGTTCGCCAATCTCGCGGACGCGCTGGGGGGGGCTGCGATCGGCAGATGTCAGACTCTTGTCGAAGCGCGCGCTACAGGACACCGTTCAAGATCTGTGCCGAGTCCTGGGCTCGCGGTTCACTGCGAGGCGGGGTCGCGGGACCGATCGAGCCTTCTGGCCAATCGGACGACGAGACTCGGATGTCAAGGCTGGGGACCAGGATCGCTCTTTATCGCGGCCGTGGAGCCCGTGGCGGTGCAGCTAATTTACATGTGGCCTCGCCGACAGGTAGGACGAGGAAACGCACCGTGCTCCTGGATAAATCTCTGTCTAAATAGTCTGGCGCGTCGCCAGATTTGGCGTCGCTTTTGACTGGCGCAGATTCGCCGGCGACAGGAGGACTCTGTGATTCGCAGCCACAGGGGCCCCGTCTGTCTCGACGCCACAGCCGGGGTCGCGAATCTTCCAGGCGCCAGTGGAGCGCGGGCCAATCAGAGGCCGTAGTCTGGCTGCCGGCGCCCGCGCACCGGCTTTTGCACGGTGGACTGCGTAGATTGAGAGCCGGGTCCGATTGGCGGACGGGGCCAGGAAGGCAGGCAGCCGATTGGGCTTACTCGCCTCCCGGCGCTCGGGTCCCCGGGTTCAAGTGGGTGTGGGGGGGGTGGAGACCCGCCAAGTGGATCTCTCCGATAGGTTTCGCTTTTCCAGTGCCCCTCGTCTGATGGGGGTGTCTGCATTTAAGATCGAAAAGTTCGGTAGGTCGCTCCCGTTGGTGGCAAGAGCCCCCCTGAGTGCCCCACCCGCGCCCGGCAGCAGCCCCATGCCCCAGCTCTTGGCACCGCTTCTCTCCCTGTTCCATTCTTCTCCGACCGGCGAAGGCAGAGTCTATCCGTTCACGCGCTTTCTTCTAACATAAGAACCCGTAACCGGTCCCACCCAGTAAGAACCCTAACCCTAACACCGCTTCAAGGGCCTAGGCGAGCGAGTAACTTCAGTCCAGGCCAGGCCAGTGACCCAAGTGGGGGTCGGGGACGGGCCCCCTCGCCGTCCCTCAGCGAATCTTGTCCCCCCCAACGCATCAGCCTGCCCCGGCGGCGCGGCTTTTGGACGTTCCAGTTCTACCACAGATCGGTCAGTCGGGCAGGTGCAGGGGCCGGGGGGTAGCGCGGGGGGCACTCGGGTCAGCGCTACTGTAACCACAGTTACCGCTGTGACCGCGGCAGCGCTTTCATTCTGCGGCGACTTCGTCCACCCTAGCCTCCGAGCGCTAGACAGGCGGACGGACAGCCGCCCGCTCAGCGCAACGTAACGGACTGTAGTGACCGACTGTCTGTCACCAACCGTCGGGTCCGTGATATTCTTTCGTCCGTCGCAAGTTTTCTTCGAGGTTACAATTCTGCGGCCCCTCGCAGATTAATTAATTATCATTGACGAGCCGACTCGGTCTGAATCTTTCCGTCCATTCGTTGCTCCGAGATTCGACCCCACGTCGGACGGAATCGGAATTCATTCGCCGCGCCGGAGGCTGGAATCTTGGCCCCCCTCCCCCCTGCCCCCCTTGATCTTCTTGGTGCTTCCTTCCCCGCGCGCCATCATCAACGTGTTGCGACGAGAACATGTCCGAAAGCCTTCTGCTGATTGCTCGGCCCCCCCCCCGATCTTCTGTCGCTTACAAATCTCGCCACTTCTAAAAGCAGAGATACTCGGATCTCTGCAACAGCAGTCATTTCCTATGGGCAACATGTGTTTTATCATTAATCAAATCACGGGGATTGATCTCGTTCGATCATCATTGGCTTCCGGGCTCGCTCGAGGGCTGTTCGAGCGCGGCAGCTCAGCAGTGCGCGCACAAAGGCAAGGATTGGATTGCCCGGCCCCCACATGTATGCCCCCCGATACAGGCCAAATTCTCCTCTCCGAAACTGGACTTATTGATTTGGCTGCTAGTTCTCCCGTTGTTCACTTCACTCCACTCCACTCCCCTCCACTTCACAACACAAGCGCACTCCCACCACTTCCTACATGCATGGGATACCTTCGTTGAAGTACTCATGGCACTAATTGTAGGCGACTACATAGTACATGTCGAGGCTCTAGGGTGCTCAGAAAAAAATCTGTGCCGCGAGATGAACAAGGATACTCATGCATTTCGGCATTAGAAATGCCGAAATCCTGGACCTTAGGACGCCGGGCGGGCGGATGCATGCACGTAGATATTAAAAAGGTTCGATTATGCGAGGGGAGGCTTGGATTTTTTGTTTCAGCACTCGTACCTGCCTGAGTTATGTTGTGAATGCACCCGTGAAGACCTGAACTTCGACAAATATCCTCCGGTGCAAGTTACAATGTCGTCTGACTTGGGTACATGATGTTGTACGTTATGGTTGTGCATGCCGATGAACTTGCGTCCACGAAGCAAGAGTGAAGGATCACGAACCTCGTAAGCCAAGGGGTCCACATTCCTCCCTCCCTCCCTCCCTCCCTCCCTCGGTCTGCCGGTCTATCAGAGGGCCACGGAATCGAGGAGATTGAATTCGCAGGTTGTGTTCTCAATGAGTACAAACCGGTGTGCTCATTGATCATGTTTCCGAATATACCTGGTCGCCGATGAAGGTCACATCTCGCCCAGATCTGACATCGAACATGGAGTCATATATATTT